TTCCAAATCTCGCCTTCCCTGGCCTCTCTTCTGCCAGGGTCCGGCGACTGGAAGTGTGGGCTGTAGGCAGCCCGTCTTCCCCGGGAAGATGCTCTCCATCGGTGTAAGCCACATGCACCCGGGTCAGAAAACCAAGTGAGGTTCCTACCTGGGCTCTTAGGTCACATACACGCCAGGGGTTCTTGAACTTAGACCCCCCCGAGGGCTTGTTAGTATGTAGACACCTGGGTCCCACCCAAGAGCTTCTCACTCAGTAGCTGGGGTAGAGCAGAGAAATTCGCAGTTCTGACAGGCTCCGGGGCGGTGGTGCTGTGGGTCCAAGACCACCCTGTGAAGACCACTGCGCCATTTATGGAGAGGAGAAACGCGCCCACCTCAGGGCAAGGAGCCATGGCCGGTCGGGGAGAAAGACAGCTGTCTGTTCCAGAGGAGGAAAGGGGGTAGGGGCTCTGCAGGCTCTGTTCTCCGCCAGGCGCCCTGAGGAGCAGGTGCCGGCACTGGTCCTACGCTGTTTCTTTTTGGTTCCCAACAGCCATTAAACAAAGACATTCCCCTGGATGTGAAGGAGGGGGCGGCATCCCAGGCAAGGCTTTGACTTTACAGAAGACCAACTTCTGTAAGCCAACTTCACAAGGTGGCTGAGTGGGTCTAGGGCCTGAGTCAACCGCCTGCCTGACTCAGGAGGAGAAGGGAAGCAGGGGTGTTCCAGGCCCCTGGCCCCCACCATTCGTGCTTCTGTGCCAAGGTGCACTGCTCAGAATGCATATTCCACACCAAGCAGTCTTCAGGCCCCGGCTGGGCTGCTTGCCCTCAGCCGACCTGAAGCTGCAACCCCGTGGGTGTTATTCTCCAAGAGAGAATGATCACGGGGGACCTGAGGTAGGTGCTGCAGGCCTACCCAGCCGTGGACAGCAGGTGCCGGGATTCTGGCATCTTCTCTGCACACTTACCCCTCAAGAAAGCCAGGTCTCTGGCGGTGGCCGGCTTGGTATCTCTCTTGCACAGGGTTGTTGGCAAACAGCAGCGCGTGCTGGCACCATCTGCCCTCTGCCTCCCACCCCAAGAGGGACAGCTGGGGGAGGGTTATGGCATCAAAGAAGGGGCCATCAAATTCGTTTGCCAGTTCTGGGAAGGTTTGGAGGGTTGGTGGGTCTTTTTGAAGATGTAGAACCCCGGGGGGAGACCAGGTGAACTGGAACTTACTGGGGGGAGGGGGTGTAGTCCTTTGAAGAGGCAGGCACCAGATAGCCATGCTCGGATTTCTGAGGTCAGTGGCCCAAGCATTACCAAGGTTAAGGAGAAAGGAGCATAGGGTGGACTGTCATTCATTCCAGAGGCGACTCGATGGGCGCTGACAATGGGCTGGGCACTAGGCCCCTCCTCGGGCCTTCAGGCCTCACTAAACCCACGGCCTTGGGGGTTAAGGTTGAAGCCTGGTCTTTGTTCCTAACCAGGGACTGAGCAGGGGGCTTGGAGTATCTGCGTTGTCCTCTGAAGCCCTCAGACCGGGGACAGTGAGTGCCACCAGGTCGCTTCAGGGGCAAAGGGAAATACGTGGTCACTGCTCAGGGTGGGTTCTGGTCATTTGGGAGTGTTGGTCTTCGGGCCCATGAATGGGAGAAGAGATGGGAAGTGTCTCCAGGAGTGTAAGGGTCCTCACTAGTATATGGAAACTTGAGAGCCCCCCGGGGCCCAGGCACAGTGCCAGCTGTAAGGAGTTAATCATAAGTCATAACCCATTATAGCCCGGATCCCCTGCAGCCTGGTCCCAAGAGCGTTGTCCCTTAGTCTCTTAGCCTCCCTGTCAGAGGTGGCATCCTTGCACACCTGGCGTCCTTCCCCAAATAAGGAAATTCAGTCTGGGTCCTGGATCCATAGCCTCTAGAAGTCTCCCCGCCCACAGCTCCTCAAAACCCCAGGCCTGGTAGGCAGGCATGTGGCACCCTCAGAAAGCAGGCCCTGGGGTGGCTGCTCCTCCACAGGCTGAGTGGGCACTGGGTCTTCTGTTCAGTGGCTCACAAATGGCCTGAAGAGTTGTGCCTGAGTGGTGACCTTAGAGGTGTTGCCCCTTTGGGGCTCCCCTGATGGGGCTGGCATTGTGGAAGGACTATGCCTCCAGGGCTGCGAGGAGGAAGCCATGGGGGGAGGGGGGGCGGTGCGGAGGAGCAGCTCGGGCTGGTAGGAGCCAGCAGATGTTGGCTGGGAGGGAGTCAGCCTGAGCTTTCTTCTGGACCAGCTCCTGGGGTGGGAGTCAGGTTGGACAGGTGCGTGTGAGGAAGGAGGCCTCCAGGCTGGAAGCCGCTGTGGGTCCCCCTCTTCCCTCAGCTGCTGATCGGGTGTTTGTCCTACTTTCCTCATTGCCTAGGCAACCGTCCCCGTTCACCATTTGCTACCCAACTTACCCTGGGAGCCCACTCAGAGGAGGGGAACAAGGGCCGAGGACTATGGAGCAGCAGGGTGAAGGCAGGGTCAGTGGATTCTCCTCATTCCCCAGCCCTAGGCTTAGGGGTATCTCATTCCTTTGTGGTCACATCCCACAAGCCCCAGGTTCTACCTTAATTACATCCCCATTGGCTTTCCACCTCTGGCTAGGCTGGGGGCCGTGCTACACAACCTTCCCAACCTTCCACTGGAATCCCTAACCCCTTTCTGGGCCCCTGCCCCTGCCCCAGGCCTTGGCCCAGAAGGTAGGGGCCTTATCTCCCCACCTCGCCCTCCCCTCCACCTCCCACCAGGACCCCAGCCAGGTTTCTCCAGTTCTGCCACAGCCTCAAAGGGGCTGATGGAATTTCCCCTGGGGTTGTCTCGTTCAAGGAGTCGCTTATCTTCTTGCCTTCAGCCATTGCTGGAGAGGGGAATTAGGCCGGGGTCATTGGAAGGCC